GGATACCCTGCATCAATGGAGGACAAACCCAAGATTTCATCATTTGTCTAACCATTTTCAAACCATACTCACACCAAAAATCAACTTCTTATTTCTTCATATCATCATCATCATCTCTCTCTTCTTTTTATTTCTCCAATCTTAAAATGCATGTATCAGCTAGTAAAAGGGTTTGTTTGAATTTTACAAAAGTTATGCACTTTAGTTTTGACAAATAAGTAACTGATTAATTTTATTTGTTTTAATTTCTATACAAATTAGTTATGTAGGATCATAGGAAGTAAAATAACAACATTAAAATTTATATCGTATAATAATTAGTTCTAAAAAAAAAATTTAGGTGATGAGTTGAGTTTTGAAGACTCAAAAAATTAAGGCAGGCCCCACAACTCAAATTAATTTATATAATTCAAAAATCATGAAGAATATATTTTCATATATGTCCCAAATAATATGCATATTTCATTGCTTTAACAGCTTTGAAACGTGGGAATTAATTGATAATATAAGTATATAGATTGGCAATTTAATTTGAGATTAATTAATTCTTTCGGTGGATGCATGAACAATTTCATAGTCATCTAGACTGCCAATGCTGCAACACCATATGGCCACCATGTATGTGTGTGTGACTTTGACAATTAATTCTCCATTATTTGTCAAATAATAACCAAATCACATGAGTGCAAACGAGTAAGAATGTAATTGGAGCTTCTGAAAAATTAAATCTTTAATGTAAGACAAAGAATTCTCAGAACATGAAGCCAAAAGAAGGCACAGGTCTTGCGTTGATCGCCACTGATTCCAACAACTTTATGTCTTCTCATATATATATATATATATATATATATATATATATATATATATCAACCCTTTAAACAGACTGTATGTTTGATAGTTCCAGTTTATAAAGATGACTAAATAGAAAATTAACTTATTAAGAGGTGTACTGATTTTATACATCTTTCCGTTTTTAAATTTAATTTTCTACCTATGGAGGAATGGCACAACCATAGTTTTCGAAGGACCCTAAAAGAAGATCATAGGATCCACATGATAAAGCATATAAAGGTTATGTTAGGTTTCACTGTATATTAAACAATGTTTATTCTAGATTAATTAATTAACCTAAAGAAAGGAGGAATATGACACTAATGTGACACATGTATTATTATTTGGTGCCTCCGGTAACCCTATACATAAGTTATATTAACTATTAATGGATTAATTAATCTCTTGGCCCCACCCACCTAAAGGATGATGGAAAGACCTTTACCTCCCAACATATATACATATGTTTGGGCACAGGATGACGATAAATAGAAAAATCTTGGGGAAGAAAATATAAGGATTAGAAATGCTTTTTCCGCCAATGGTTTGAAATCCTATTTAATAGATATATATATATATATATATAAACATCACACTAATACAATAATTTAGTGCCCCCACAGGGGCGCATATATATGAATGAATATTCTAATGTGATGATGCACATCATTGATCACAATAAGTTGTTTTATTATTAATTACTATTACTACTACTATTATTATTATGGGCATTCTCGGATTTTATTCAAGCAATGATTATTCTTTGGAACCATTTGAAATAGATACATTTAACCTAAATTAAGATGCAATCCTTCAACTAGTTCCTTTTTGTTTTTTGATACAGTTATTTGATATTTAATAACCTTATCAAATTAAGGAGTGTTAGCCTAATCGAGAATAATAGCAAGATTTAATTTATCAACAAATAAAGTTTGAAAATCTTCAATCTTATCTATAAAACCCCTTTGAATACCATTATTATTGTTGGATATATATATCAATCACTTCATTCAAAATTACTTTTCAACTATGGCAAAAAAAAAAAAAACTACTACTTCAAATATGACATGATCTCATATTTGAATTTGTATCATGGAAACAATTCTTTCATCAAATCTCTGATGTCAATGGAAGATTATCTTTTAGGATCACCAAAGCCCACAAAAACTCAACACAAGCTCATTAAACTGTTGGCTTTCATTATGATTAACTAGCTTGACCTCTCATTACCCATGTTATATATATAATAGTACTAATAACTAATTAGTTTAATAGATTATTGGCAACTATTGTGGATTGTATATGTGCTATAATGATGATTGATGATCGAATCTAACGGTCACAAAAGAATTGTGAGCTTTCACTCCAAAGTTGATCCAATCATGGGAATTCACAAAGATATTTGGGTTTAATTTCTCATACATGGGAAAAAATTATTTGACTAATTGCCCAAACGGCAACAATGGGGACAAGGTGGGTCCCAACAGGAGTTGCGATGAAGACTTAGAGAGTATGATACATTAAATATTTCTAACCATTATGATTATTATTAATTATTATGCTTTTTAAGTGGGATACTACAAACCCTAAAAAAGCTCTCACACTCTCGTAGTTAGTAAGATTCGCACAGATCTCTCCCAAAGAAAGAAAACATCTTTACAAATTTATATATTTGTAGATTTCAACGTCAATCACGCAAACATCCTAAACAATTATTCATCATCAAACACGTAATGGTAGGGACCCAAACCCTAAGTTCTGTAAACTCACCTGAACGTTATATATTCAATCTCTCTCTCTCTCTCTCTCTCCAGGTCATGATCTATAAGGAAATGCCCTTTCAAACAAGGAAACTGTGATGTTTTTGGCGACTAGATATCTCATTTTGTTTTCATATGGTAAGGTTTTCCAAGGGCAAAAAGAAACAAAAAAAAAAAAGAAACTTTTTTTTTTTTTTTTAAAACTTTAGTTAGGGACATCTCAAAGTAACTATAGGATTGAAGCAGAAGCCGAGCTTCTTGTGTTGACTTTTATGGACGAAAAAAGCCATGATCATGATGATATATCTGAGACAATATATATGGGGACAAGAAGAGAGAGAAGAGGTTGGAATAATGTGGAACAGACATATCTAGCATGAGATATGGGAAGATGAATACGATGTTGACACGTGGGCCACAAAGCAGTGATTGGCAATGGGACTGACGGTGTTAGATCTGAGCATCATCGTCGTCGTCATCATCGTCAATATCTCAGTTTAGGATACTGGACGCCATATATCATACTATGTAACTAAGCTCCTAACTGGCTTCATCTCTCTCTGCATGTAGCCAGGGCTGCTTTGACTTTTTCTAAAGAGAGAAAGTGAACAGTCTTGTGTTGGTGGTGGGTGAGAGCAGTGTCGGCTTCTCTTACAGATCCATAATTGATGCAATAGGAAACACTGTACCACCATCTACCAATATTTGTCACAGGTGTCCTTGGCTAACATATAATCTTATAATTTACTGATACGAATGCTTCTTTATATATAAAAACTGATGGATTTGACCTTTTAATAAAAGAAACAACGGTTTTAAGTTTGAATTTGGAGATATATATTGGAAGTGTCTGGTTGTCTTTGTACCGCTATAAATCTACCCGACTGTGTGAATTAAGTGGGGCCTAATATTAGTTTCGGTCCTAATTATAAAATCTATAAATAAGGTACTATGATTAAGATAGGAGGTAATATAACTTTTAAACAGCGGATCTTAAACAACGAAAGGGTATCCGAATAAAGCTAAAATTTGGAATAAGATACCTAAAAATTTGCTAATTGTGAGCTGTGCAGGAGTGGTGGGTCGGAGGAAGCAGCAGCAGGCTGAGGAGGAAACAACTGAGACGCGGGCTGCACGCCTCACGGTGGCTTATTGGGTTTCGTTCCTCTACCAAAGTTTCTGAGATAAGTTCTGTAAACAGTATGTGAGATTACGAAACTACCCCTGCAAGAGGAGGTGGTGGGAGAGGAAAAAAGCTTTCATTTCAGGCTTCAATTATAATGATGGGAAATTAATTATTTGTTGCTGTAGCCAGCTTGGGTTTTTTCCCCGCCTCTCAACCATTGTTGGAGGAAAATGGTGGCAAAACGTACGTGTCATAAATGGAGTGGGTCAATCACTGTGACGACATGAACAGAAGATTCTTCTTCCTCTTCATCATCATCTTTTCATAGCAAATGCCGAGTAGTTGCTTCAAACACTCATCTGATAAGCTGCTTCTTGATTGGACCTTCTCACGCAAAGTTTCAAAACGCATCAAAAAAGAGTGGAAGCAAAGTGCCACACAACATCCCACACAACATATCCCTCCAAATTTTCCAACCTAATTGCTTTGCTTTTAACACACAAACACACACATCCCCCCTCTCTCTCTCCCCCTCCCCGGTTGGTTGGAAAATCAATTTGCATCATGTCTTCAATAGGTTTGGGTAGTAATATATAAAACTTGGTGACGGGTCCATTATTATTTGTACTATATATATATATATATTTTGCATGTTTGCTTATTGAAATGACTTTGATGCCTCTAATTAATTAATAAACCATTAAGTTCATCATCAGTTAAACCGTTGCCCTTCAACGTGCATATAGAAACCCTATATATTATGCTTCGTATAGGGTATGTGTATGTGAAGCAGCAAAATTTAAAAAAAAAAAAAATCGAAGTCGTTTGTGTATAAGTATATGTTGGTGATCCAACGGGGCAATCATTTTTTATGGTTAAACCCGTATCAAACTCCAATCTCACATGCACCACATACTTAATAATCCAGTCTTAGCTTGCCCCAATATTTTGATTACAAAATGAATACCCAGTTGATGATATTGTATTATTATTACTATTATATGTGGCTGATTTTACAGAAAATGCTCCATTTTGGTCAAATAATTGAGAAGTAAGGTCAGTTTGGTAACTTCAACATGGGAACTGGGAAGAGACAAACGCAATCCCTTGGGTCCCCTGAGCATTCTTGGGTCGTGTTCCCATATTTCACACACTTTCTCTTCTCCTCGGGACGTCCGCAAACTAATCCTCTCTCTCACTTTCTCTCTCTCTCTTCACTGTGTACTTATTTGTGTATGGCTCTTGTCAAAACTCACTCCTGAATCCCAAGTATAAATAGACCCACAACGCATGCAGAAACTCCTTGTAGTATATATTTTCACACTTATAATCTCTCTCTCCCTCTCTCTCTAAATCTCACATCTCCTCTTTGATCTGTCTCACACTTTCACTTACCCTTTCGGTTTCATATTCAAAGTTTCTAACTTTGATTCAAATCTCAGTTATGGAGGATCCGATTGATCAGTACCAAACGAAAAGAGCTAACCCCACTAATTCCACCACGAGATTAAAGCTCTTCGGCTTCAATGTTCAAGAAGATATGGAAGATGAAGTGGTGCTTGAAGATGTATCAGATTCCAACGGCAAGCCTGCCACCCCGTCTGGGTCACAGGATTCCGGCGGCGGCGGAGGAGGTGGCGGTGCGGCGTTCCTTCCTTCCTCCGGTGACAGGAAATACGAGTGTCAGTATTGTTGCCGAGAGTTTGCGAATTCACAAGCGCTTGGTGGGCACCAAAACGCGCACAAGAAGGAGCGTCAGCAGTTAAAGCGAGCGCAGTTGCAAGCCACGCGCAACGCCGCCGTTTCGTTTGTTCGGAACCCCATAATCTCCGCCTTCGCCCCTCCGCCGCATCTCCTGGCACCGAACGGCTCCGTTGTGATGCCGGCGGCTCCGGCCTCCTGGGTTTACATGCCACCACGTTCCGCGCCGTCTCCTTTCCACGTGTCGGTGTCGCACGGCTGTGTATTCCCGTCGTCGCCGCCGAATAACGCTGTGAATTATAGTGGTATCACCGGTGGTAGATCTGCGGGTACAGGGATGGTTTCCTACGGTGGCGGTGCAGGGGATTCGTCATCCACATTGTCGTCCCTGGGGTCGCCGCAAGGACTGTCTCGGGTCAACGGGCGGGTTGACGGGCCTTCCTTGAGTCGGTTCTCCAAGGTGGAAGCTGGGCCGAGCTTCGATGATTCGTTGGGTTTAGACTTGCACCTTAGCCTGGCACCGGCTGCGCCGTGATGTCTCGGCTCGGCTCAGTTTCGAATGAAAAATTGTATCCATCTCTATAGGTTCAGGTTTGAGACTCCGCTTATGGCTGGCTGCTACTCAGCTTCAGCTTCATGAGCTTCGGCTCTCTTCAAATCTTGTACATTTTCATATTTATTTGTTTATTTTTTTGCACTTTAAAAGCTACTGATTTTTCACTTAGCCATTGGTACACATTGCACTACTCATTACCCATTCAGTATTGTACACATGGGTGATCTCTATCTCCGTTGATGGGTTCTCATTGACTTCTAACATCATCAATTATTCTCAAATCTTCAAGAACCACAAAATATATGATAGAGAAAAATACTTTTTTTAAAAAAAAAAACGAAGCAATCAATCAAAATGGTCACTATTTGCGATGAGAATATATAATTAGCTTTTCATAAATTTTTTTATATTAATTAATTATAACTGCTTGTAGTGTACAAACATGCATGCACCATTATTTTGGTGTTATATTATAATTTGGACAATGACTTGAGCATATCGATCACAGTATGGAGAGTGACTCATATCTGACCTGTAATACATGTTTTTGAAGCTTTTGACAACCAGTTTTATATATCAGTGTCAAAAACCTAGCTACTAGAAGCTTGGCTTATGTACCACGAGACTCATATAATAAATAAATAATTAAATTAATTCCTGCTATAATGAGCACATATAGCAATTAACAACAAGAATGCTAGCAATTACTAGCTAGTATAATTTGTTTAAAAAAAATACATAAAGTAGCTACTTGGTTATAAACTGAGTCATTGTTGTTATATTGCACCAAATCAATCACTTAACTTTCCAGGGCATTTGATATGATTTGATTTAATTTATTGGCTACTTCATAAGTAATAGCATAGGGTTACAAGCGGGATTGAACATGCATGTGACTTCTCCACTTACAAGAGACCTCTCATGCCATTATATTAGACTACAAAGCCATCGGCTTTTTCTTGTTCTTCTTCTCTGAAAAAAGAGGAACATATTATTAAAGTGGCATTCTTTTTCTTATTCCACTGGTCATCCTTTCCTTTTTAATTATGAGTAGGAACAATAATGAGTGAACCAATAGAGATAGGTAGGGCTTATATAAAAGGTACAATTAATGTTGGAGGAAATTTATGACAATTATGAAAGAGGGTCTCTGAATTTGTGTTTCTTGTTGTAAGCTGGCGCGGCCGGATGGTACAAAATTTGTATTCACATGATGATTATTAAAGGTCACAAAAGTCTGCGTCAATATGTACTTCTGAGAGGTGAAACCCAAGAATAGTATCCGCAATAAAACGGTCATGCATTCACAATATGATATTATGCTTCTTGCTCCTTTTAATACGGCTCATGATTTTTGGGGAAAATGCGGAAAAGTCCTTCCATTAGATTTTTTTTTTTGGGTTGAGAACTAGTTAAATTAGCATACTGGTATTTTGTGTGCACAAAATTTGCAAAGTACCAATACTTTGTGTGTATTAAAACTTCTTAGATCCTTCTCATCAATAAAATTGTCAATATGGGAGACTTTCCCCTATCTTGCCTGTTTTTTTTTTTTTAATCATTTTAAGATATACTGCTCCATGTCAGCTTCATGCGTTTAGGTTTTGTTTGATACCCCAAATTTATTTTATGGAATGAAAATAAGGGGTTATATGTCCGAGAACAATGGTAAAGTTGATGTTGTATAACATGCAACTCATGAGTTACCAACAAAGAGTTAGTCTAATAGTGTAAGGTTCCACTAGATCTCTCTGAGTCTTGAGTTTGAGTCCAAAAAGAGACACTTTTGCAGGAAGAAAAAATCATGAATCCTGAATTGGATAGTCAGTTGCTCAGATACCTAGCAATAGAATCTAAAAAAAAACACAGGACACCGAGTGATAATATAAAAAAAAAATGAAAATCATGAGTTTAAATCCCAAAAATGGTCCCTCCACTCGCATGAGGCTTAATGAAATGAATACAAAACAGAATGGAATGAGAATGAGAGTGAAAAAAAATGTAGTATTTTAAAAGTATTTTTGGTGTGTCAAAAAAAAATAATGGAATTTGAGATAATATTTGTTTGACATAAATATTCTAATGATGAAATAGCAGTTTTAAGAACCCTAAAGACCAAAATACCCCTTATTGTAAAATGATAAATCAACTTTTTTTTAAAAAGAAAAAAGGTTCAAGCGGTTGCGAAGAGCTAAAGACCAAACGGAGGGAGGAGAGTGACGGTGGATATGGAGCTGCTCAGCACCAAGGGAGGTTGAGGACGATGGTGAGGAAAAATGATTGATTGCATCGGAAATTCGCATGAAATTATTGAGGGTATTTTGGTCTAAAAAGTACAGTTGCCATGAATGTGGGGGAAAAATGTAACAAAAATTCCTTCAAATTAAAACCCCTAAGCAACAACTTTTTCTTTTCAAAAAAAATTAGATGGAATTTTGGGTTTTATGGAAAGTGTCTTTTATATGTTCAGCAAACAAGATAATTTAATTTGGTCCGTTCCTTCTCTTTTCTTGAATTCAGATTATATCACACTAAAGACGATCTTAGTACGTGTTTATTTGAATATGTAGTATATTGGCCAATGACGGAATACCATATCAGCATGAAATTCCTTGCCGTAGAAGAAAAGTTGCCAGTTTGTGACTTGGAGTAAGAAGATGGAGTATTTTGTGACTTGGTCCAGTGAAAACGCTAGTATATTACTTCCTCCTATCTTAAATATAGAAATTAGTTGGAGGGTTTGCTTTAATTAAATATAAAACTTTAATTCATTTTTTCCCAAACTTATAATTTTTAAAAAATTTTAAGAGGGGTGTAGTCCATTTTATAAGCTTTAATAATTTGGTTTTGTCTTAATATTTAATGTATTTTTTCAATTTTGTCATTGATTATTTATTCTTTCTCATTTGTTATACTTTTTTTTATCACATTTTCTCACACATTTTCTTTCATCCGATTTATTATAAGAGCATATTTGGAAACAAAAAAATATTTTTAACCTATTTATTGCTTGTAACTAATTTTAACTAATTGTTCATTATCTATGAATTAGTTATTTGAAACTTATAATAAAACCAGAAAAAATATTTATTATAAATAATTAACTTAACTAATTTTTTTAATATTTATAAATTAGTTATTTATCTCCTATATTACTAATAAGAAAGAGTAAATTAGTATGCCGGCAGGAACGTTGCAAGTTTAATTTTATAAGTAAACGTTCTCAACATTAATTGAAAAAGTAATTGTTTATTTTGCCCCATAATGACCATGGAAGTGGTTGATCTCTGCTTCATTTAAACCATTAATTAATTACAAATTATATAAATATATACCAAGAAAGAAATCAAAATTAGTGGGGAAGACAATCTCCTGAGATGAAAACTGTCATTTGTTAGGAACGACATGTGGGACCAAAACTTGCCAACGTTTATACATTGTAAAGATGCAAAAGGACCTTTTCTTTTATTCTCTTCCTCTTTTTTTTTTTAAAATTTTTATAAACTTTATTAACATTCAATATAATCTCCAAAATCTTTCATTTTCTTCCTGAAGGCATCAAAAGAAGCAGTTTGTGTGTGTGTGAGAGAGAGAGAGAGAGAGATGGAGAGAGAGAGAGAGGTCATTAAGAAAACAAGAGAGACAAGAAGGACTAATCTTGTAATGAAGATCTATGTTAAGCTACAGTACAGTTTCCATCAATGGAAATCTTCTTTTGAAATTAATTGAAACTATGCTCTGAAACGCTCTTATTAAATTACAGAGAATTTTATGGAAGTTCGATCGACAAAGCTTATGTTACGTGGTTGCACACTAAGAATAAAATCCAATTTCACAGCAAGAAAAGCACGTTAGCTGCTCATGAATCAATAGGTTGAAGACACGCCAAAAAAACATAAACATAAAATAAAAATGAACACACACACACACACATATTAGGGTTTTCTTGACAGGATTGTAGTATATTCCGAAAACTCTTGTTGATTGTCCTTTGCTAACTTAAAAGTGAAGTTCAGAAATGGAACAATATTTTAAGTGAATTAAGATAACGCAAGGTCGGTGCTTTTGCCACCCATTATTGAGATCTCTGATTCATATGCGTCCAACCCAAAAGCAAGATTTGGCCACTTAAATTGTTTAACCAAAAATGAGATATATAAAGTTTCAGATGGATGACATCATCTCCCATGGCTTATTAACCATGAGATTTGGTTAATGGAATCTGGTCTAGTAGTTGATCTCCACAAGGCAACTTAAGGGAAAATATTTATATAGATAAGACTTTAAGTACGTATAAGTTGGAAGATGCTTTCGGTTTTCCTTCTTCTTTTGTAATATTTTTCTTGCTTGAAACTTGTAAAATGTCTTTGGTTTGATTCTTAGAAGCAAGAAAAGGATGGCTCTGGTTTTAGGTTTGAAACTGTGTGCATGCAATTGGAAAAGTTTTTGCTTTCCTTTCCTTTCCTTTCCTTCTTTAGGTTATTTTTTTTCTTTTGAAAAAAAAAAAAGAAAAAGAAAACTGTACTCTGATCTGATGCCTTGTGGCTGGCGAGGAAAGAAACTAATGAATGAGAAATTCGAACACAAATCCTTACTTCGCTGAGCATAAGATTCGACGTGGATTGGTTTTCCTCTTCTGCACAAAATGATAAGAAACCTTTACCCCTCTAATTAATGAACCGTCTTTAATTTCTTGTTAGTTTAAGTTTAATAAACCCATATTATTGCAAATAAATGGGAAACATTTTGAACAAATCTTTTTTCTTTCTTTTGTGACATAACTTAAATAATATTGTTCAAAAGATCAGTGAGCAAGCTAGCTCCAGGTTTCTTGGGACGACCATATACGCAAAACTCTTTTGTTAGCTTACCCATCACGTTCAAGCACTCGTGAACGATCGAAAGAAACCCAAAGAACAATTTCTTTTGAACTTTTGACATATTTAAGGCGTCAGAAAGAAGTATATATATAGTGATAAGGACACTTGAAGAAAAGTGGGAAAAAAGAAGTGGGAGTTAGATTAGGATTCTTTAATTTAATTTCCTTTTCTTACCCACACACATGTACGTACCTATAATTAATGGAGCTTGATTGGCGGTCTCGTGTTATGGTAACGTGATCAAAGGGTGGCCAGCTGGTTACCAATCAATAATGTTTAGTTTTAATT